AGACACACTTCAAACTCCCCCTTCCCTGGATACATTTCAAACTCCTCGTTTCCTCCATACCTCTCAAACTCCTCCATCCCTCGATACGCTTCAAACTCCTCCTTCCCTCGATACACTTCAAACTCTTTCTTGCCTCGATTCCCCTCACACGCCTTCTTCCCTCAATACCTCTCAAGCTCCTTCTTTTATCGATACACTTCAAACCCTTTCTACCCTCGCGTCGACATAGACATGTATCGAATCACAATTGACATTGTCACCACCATCTCAATCTGATTTACTTGTAGTTATTGGATTGTCATTACAAATGTTTCTGACGATTACCAAACCAGTTATGTTTAAAACCAAGATGAAAACATGTATTCGCAAACGTTTACTATAAAAAAGTCTTTTGTTTGATATTGATCAATCTATTCACAGACGCATTGCAGTGTAGAGATGGATGGACTGGCTTCGAAGGGTCATGCTACTATCTTTCCCATGGGGTAGCAACATGGGCGGAAGCTGGAGTAAGATAAAAAAAATTGAATCAAGTTTTTACGTGAAATATTGTGAGATGTGAAGGTTAATCTATATTTAAAGGCAGCTCAAATTGCTTATATCATACACCTATAGAACACGACATTCTGCAAAGCCTTATATTTCTAATTCAGTCGATTCTTTGTATTACTAACAGGCGGTCTGTAAGATGCTTGGAAGCAATTTAGCTATGATAGAAACTGCAGCAGAACTTACTTTCCTAAAATCTGAATTACGTCACATTCATCAACATGGTACGTACAATATGCATATTTGAATAATTAAACAGAAGTACGATTGAACAAAAAAAAATTAAAAAGATACAACCATGATTTAGCACGCAAACTAAGACGGAAATAAATAGTCCTGAATGCATTTAAACAACAACACACATGGAAGTAAGTTTTAGGTGAGATTTCAAACAGGTATCGGTGCTACTTGTCTTTGTTATCGGTGCTATGTGTCTTTGTTATCGGTGCTATGTGTCTTTATTATCGGTGCTATGTGTCTTTGTTATCGGTGTTATGTGTCTTTGTTATCGGTGCTATGTGTCTTTGTTATCGGTAATATGTGTCTTTGTTATCGTTGCTACGTACGTGTCTTTGTTATCGGTGCTATGTGTCTTTGTTATCGGTGCTATGTGTCTTTATTATCGGTGCTATGTGTCTTTGTTATCGGTGCTATGTGACTTTGTTATCGGTGCTATGTGTCTTTGTTATCGGTGCTATGTGTCTTTATTATCGGTGCTATGTGTCTTTGATATCGGTGCTACGTGTCTTTGTTATCGGTGCTACGTGTCTTTGTTATCGGTGCTATGTGTCTTTTCTAAAAATATGCTTTTGACACACGTTCATTTGCCGATATGAAAAATTGCGTTTTTGAAATTTCTTTTCAATTAACTTATATTTAATGCATTCAGATGCTGATAAAATGCAATATTGGATTGATGGGGCCGATCTAGAGGTAGAAAACGTCTGGAGGTGGACACAAACCGAACAGATAGTTTCCTTTACGGAGTGGGCTCCAGGAGAACCAAACGCTGGCGAAAACGATAACTGCATGAACTTGTGGGGAAAAAGTGGATTTCGATACGCCGACAATGATTGCGAAGAACACTACCACTATGTATGCCAAATAAGGTATCAGATTGCCAGATTTTTAAGGAAAATTACATTTGTCGCAAACAGGTGTATGGCATACACAACAATATCACTTATACAAATGTAACATGAAATGCATCACAACCGCTCAATGTGTACCAATGTCGTCGACCACAACACTGTTCGGGTCGTACTGCTGTACATCCACTCAATTCAGATTAAAGTCTAACTGATGAACAGTGAGTGTCATACTGCCTACGTAAAATTAATTACACACACAGGCAAAATGTCTTTATGTTAATTTAGGTCAGTGCCAAGTCAGGTTTGTTCCCAGGTGAATTTCATCTGAAAACAAAAAATGTCTCTGCAGTTTTGGTGTTCTATATCAAGGTTGAAGTCTTTCAATACGAAATAACTTGCCAGTTCTATGACACGTAATTTTACGTGTAAGTGATGTTAAACATAGTTTCACTTGTCAGTGATTTACGTTAGTTCACTCTGCAGTAATACTATACGTAATTTAACTTGTCAGTGATATACCTTATTTCACTCGGCAGTAATACTATACGTAATTTAACTTGTCAGTGATAAAATTGATAATTTATTTTGACAGTGAAGTAATACAATACACGTGATTTCACTTGTCAGCGATGTTATAAATGATTTGATTTGTCAGTAATAGTATGTGTAATTTTACTTGTCAGTGGTATTATGCGTGATTTCATTTGTCAGCGATATTATACATTGTACGTTATTTCACTTGTCGATGATGTCGACCTGTGTCAGGAACCTATCACTATTTTACCAAAAACCTACTTTGCTTATCACTTATTAATTTCATGTTTTTTCTCTATTTTTTTACAGAGATCCTGAGGGGGGCGAGCTTGTTGGTTAACTGAAATAGTGTTCTTGATAATAAAGTCAATAACGGCATATCAAAAACGTGTTTTGTGATACGCATGATAAATAAGCCAGTGTGCATAATAGCTTGGTCAGATTTGTCTTGTGCATGATCCCTGTTTATGACGATGTCAGTGGGTACGTTTGTTTTGTGTTTGCTTCACTAATGCTGATAGCGCAAATTATAATACCCGAGAATAAATTTGCTGTTTTTAGCAGATTGTTTCTTCAATGACCTCCTTTTTTATTTATTTTTTACGAAATTCACGTACACCAGTAACGTATTTCGTTCAACCATTTTACTACGCAATATTAAATTGTTGAATATTCACCTAAGTATTTACCTATATTTGGACAAATTCTTGTTGTTTGAGTTGTGTGTGTGTGTTTTATTTAGACAAACAGCAGGTCTCCGTATTCCTATAAATACAAGTCCCTTTTGTTATATATATTAACTTTGGTCAGGATAGCTGTTCTTATTGTTGATTATTCAGACATCCAGCTGTTGTTTTTATTATGGAAAAGCAATCCCCGAAGATTATGATTCAACACTGTTTTAGATGCTTAATTGATGAATATTGATCCTATCCAGAACCAGTTTAGGCAACATTCTATTTTTGAAAAATGCGAACTATACACCGACGGGTATTTCGAATACATTATTTAAATTCCGTTAAAAGCAGTTTGATCGATAAAACACTCAATAGTTCTACGAACAGTACGTATTTGACACGGTTCATCAACACAAGTATGGCGTAAAGGTACGAATTCTTGTTGATTGTTAAAACACAGAAACAGTTGTTCAGTTCACCGTGAAAAATAAACGTCTTTATTAGTCAGGGAATACTTTTATTGTTACTGTTTTAAGGAACAACTGTTTATTTGTATCAACTTGATAAATCTTTAAAACGGACACTCGTTCGTCTTTCGTTTCTAAAACAATCATCCTAGTACATGTAATATCAATTTCGATCCTGGCACATTTCTGAAGTGTGGGCGTGGTCTTTCCATTATTTGTATTTTTTGCACAGCTACCGTGACTATTAAAGATGTGATCAGCAGTGAAAATCATGTCGTGATTTACTTATAATGTCAACGTTAGTGTCAATGAAATATGTTAGGATAAACAAAGTAAAAAACTTCTCCATGTTCATGAAAAAAGAACGGAACAAATACTGTTTCCGGCTGACATATGTACCACAAACTTACAACATATCCAACCCCTCGTTGAAATTCTGACAAGTCGAAATAATGTTATCTTGTTGTTGATTGAGATTTGTCGACATCATTTCTTATCTTATCCAAATTGCAATCAACGTCGTCAACGCAATTACGCTTTCTCATACCCGTCGATACACTGTATGTCCCGGACTAGGCATATAATACATTACCTTTCTCACATTGGTGAACGGTCATCACTATTGACGGACACAGCGTTATGAAACAAAATGTTTGCCAGAAAGTAGAGAAAAAATAGACCACCAGAGTAGGGGGCACGCATTGTTAACACCAGAGTAGGGGGCACGCATTGGTAACAGCAGGAATATTCTTTTCGCACTCCCTAAACTGCAGGCGTGAATTAGAAACATAATCATGAATGTTAGTACCCCGTTTCGGTTGATCCATGAGTAACCCTGGTAAATACTAGCCGCAATATATCGCTCGGCTATAGAGAACTTCTCTTTATCTCGATCGGTTGAGCGTAAGACTAGTAAGCCAGAGGTCCCTGGTTCGATCCCTAGCGGAGGCAGTGACTTAAATTTAATTAATCATGCGCTCAGTTACACATGTCCTTATTTGTTACCGGGCATGTATATCGTCCTCATCTGTTCAATGGCTGATTTATGTTGTAAATGTCAATCAAATTGACAGAAAAAACGGAAAGAAAAAAACAACGTTCCTTGCACTTTATTATATAATTTGCCGTTACAATGCCGTCATTCAAAATTTTCTAAATAGACCTCTCCCAATCCTCATTTTCCAATAGCAATTTGGAAAAAATGCTATATGAACAAATGATACAAAGTCAACAAACAGTTACAGTCGAACAAATAATTCAACTTTAACAAACACTATCATGAGAACAAAAGTATGGTTTAATGTCCTATTAACAGGTTAGGAAATTTAAGGACATGCCTCTATACAATGTATGTGGTTTGTATGTTTGCATGTTTGTACTTGCCTCCGGGCGATACTGCGTATCTGATACCTACTTCATAGCGCAATTTTACTGAAATGCCATGCCGAAGGTACCCAACATACAAGATATAGCATTCAATCCGGTCACATCCATACCTAAACACTTCTTTGTTGTTACGTTTGTGATCACCGTCAACCATTTGTTCTCGTGAAACACGACAGAGATAAGGTTCTTTTAAAACAAATTTTATTTCCATAAAACAATAACATATTGTTACAAAATTACACAGGTTGCCTAGATACGGTTTATAGTACCAGCCTATGTCCTTGTTCAGATAGCCTTACTATGTGACTGCTACAAGGCAAATTGATCTAATAATTTTGCAAACATTTCAAGTAACGATCAATTCTTCATACAAAATTGTTATCTGTTATAATCCATGATTTCCAATTAAAACGTTACATGTAACGCGTGTTGTCGCGTGTTGTTCCGACTTGAGGGCCAAGTCTGATATACCGTAACATGCATGTACATGTATACTCACACACAGTAATTTTGTATTTAAACGTCTCTTCCTACGGCACATATCCACGAGTTGTAACAAAAGTCCACGTCATAACACATATCCGAAAAAAATATACAAAATCATCCTTAGCCACAATAAGATATCGTTTAATTTATGAGGACGCTTAATACTAACATCGATAACTACAAACCAATCAATATTTGAACACGAAACATACTTTAGATAATACGCATTATGCATAGTAAAATGTAACAGGCACTGTCCTTCATTTCTCGTGTTTAAATAACCAAAATAAGTACACACAACACATTCCTAACTTCAATTTGTGTCATGCAGTGTTGCTGTTGTTATTGTTTATGCATTACTAAACGTTCCAAAACAAAGCAACAAGGTACTAAGAAAGAATGAGACATTTCTCACAAAACGGACACAACAAGATACACCCATATACATCAGAGTGTTTCCCATGCAGATAACTATACAATGAAACACAATACATAAAGATTACCCGCTCATAAAATACCACATTAAAATCCTGAAAATATCACCAGATCTCACGATGCAATACGATATATCAATAATAAAATATCACACCAATGTGCATGCACTCTTATACATCGAAACAGATCATACACAGAGAACCATATCATGATACCACGATACACAGAAACATACCCTACAAAGAGAACCATACCACGATATCCCGATACACAGAAACATACCCTACACAGAGAACCATACAACGATATCCCGATACACATAAACATACCCTACCAGAGAACCATACAACGATATCCCGAAACACAGAAACATGCCCTACAGTGAGAACCATACAACGATATCCCGATACACACAAACATACCCTACAAAGAGAACCATACCACGATATCCCGAAACACGGAAACATGCCCTACACAGGAAAACGTATAGACCACCACCATACAACAATATTCCGATACACAGAAACATACCCTACACAGAGAACCATATCACGATATCCCGATAGACAGAATCATAACTTACACAAAGAACCATACAACAATATTCCGATACACAGAAACATACCCTACACTGAGAACCATACAACGATATCCCGATACACATAAACATACCCTAACAGAGAACCATACCACGATATTCTGTTACACAGAAATATACCCTACACAGAGAACAATACAACGATATTCCGATACACATAAACAAAACCTACCAGAGAACCATACAAGGATATCCCGATACACCGAAACATGCCCTACAGTGAGAACCATACAACGAAATTTCCATACACAGTAACATACCATACACAGTAACATACCATACACAGTAACATACCCTACACAGACAACCATACAACGATAACCCGATACCCAGAAACATATCCTATACAGAGGACCATATCACGATATTCCCATACACAGTAACATACCATACACAGTAACATACCCCACACAGAGAACCATAGAACGATATCCCGATACATAGAAACATGCCCTACACTGAGAACCATACAACGTTATTCCGATACACAGAAACATCCCCTACACAGAGTACCATACATCGATATCCCGATACACGGAAACATACCCTAAACAGAGAACCATACCACGATATTCTGATACACAGAAATATCCCCTACACAGAGTACCATTCCTCGAGACCCCGATACACAGAAACAACCCCTAAACAGAGTACCATACCACGATATCCCGACACACAGAAACATACCATACACAGAGAACCATCCAACGATATCCCGATATACAGAAACAAGCCCTACACTGAGAACCATACAACGATAACCCGATACACAGAAACTTGCCCTATACAGAGAACAAAACAACGATATCACGATACACAGAAACAGACCCTACACAGAGGACCATACCACTATATCCCGATACACACAAACATACCCTACCAGAGAACCATACAACGAAATTTCCATACACAGTAACATACCATACACAGAGAACCATCCAACGATATCCCGATATACAGAAACAAGCCCTACACTGAGAACCATACAACGTTATTCCGATACACAGAATTATAACTTACACAAAGACCCATACAACAATATTCCGATACACAGAATTATACCCGACACAGAGTCTCATATCACGATATTCCAATTCACAGAAACATACCCCACACAGAGAACCATACCACGATATCCCAATACACAGAAACACCCCCGACACAGAGGAACATACAATGATATCCCGATACACGGAAACATACCCTAAACAGAGAACCATACAAGGATATCCCGATACACAAAAACATCCCCTACACAGAGTACCACACAAAGATATCCCGATACACAAAAACATCCCCTACACAGAGTACCACACAAAGATATCCCGATACACACAAACATACCCTACCAGAGAACCATACAAGGATATCCCGATACACGGAAACATACCCTAAACAGAGAACCATACATCGATATCCCGATACATAGAAACATGCCCTACACAGCGAACCATACAACAATATTCCGATACACAGAATTATAACTTACACAAAGTACCATAAAACGATATCCTGATACACAGAAACATCCCCGACACAGAGGAACATACCATGATATCCCGATACACCTAAACATACACTACCGGAGAACCATAC